TAGTGAACCAAAGCTAAAAGCCAAAATGAAGTTTAGTAGCTCTTCTTGGCAAATTGTCCCTTTGGGCTTATAAATAAATAAATAAAATTAAAGGAAAACAAGGGAAAAAAAGAGATATTATTCTGCATCTATTATTGTCGCTTTTTACAAATAACACTTTTTTTTTACCTCTGTTCGAACTTTTCATTAATTGCAGCTATTAGCTTTTCTATTAGTTCCAACTTTTGCAGCTTCTTCCGAACAGCTGTAAAACAATAGAGAATGTTTATTACGCAAAATACAAGGAAATATAATTTAAAATTCGTGTAATTATACAAAAATTCCGACCATTAAAATATCACTAATTTTATTATTTGTTGGATATGAAAAGCCTTACGGAAGGCTTTACAGTGTCATTAACTATTCTAAAGATCAGGTATTTCGTACGTACTTTATAATTATAGCAGAAATCGGTTTATCCGAATTAATAACTATAAGATAATTCACCTATCGAGAGCAACTCAACGGTTGTGTAAACGCACTTTTTCTTTATTATTTATATTTGAGTTATTTTCATGTTTTGGCAACACTGTATCACACAAGTTTATGTTTAGAATATTAAAAGCAAAGACGGAAATCCGCTATGTTTTTGTAGTGAATGGATTGCTTGTTTTATATTGATTAATTAGGTGGTTTGCCTGCTTTATTTTAATCCCGTGTTCTTTTTACATTTTTTTTTTTTTTTTTTTTACTAGAGAATCGACTGTATGAATGAAATTCAGATAGAGTCTCTCACCATGTTAGCCAAAACGACGTGATTTTTAAAGGTACGCTTTTTTTTAATGATGCATTATGCTAAAAATAAATTGTTTGTTAAAAAATGCTCATCTATAAGAATTAATTTTACGAATTTGGTTTGAAGGACATATTATAATGTTAAGAAAGAGAATATTAGATCTAATTGTAGAATTTAGACTCAGCTAATTTAAATAGATCATAAAATAAGCTCTTTATTACTAGATGAAGATGATGAAATATATCAAAATGAGTACGCTACAATAGTAGAATATAACTAAAATTTCTTAAAAGAAGTAAACGTAGAAATGTATTTTAAGGGAATTTTTTAAAGCCGAAAGTTTCAATAAATCTTCGCCCTTTCAAAAATAAAAGTTAGCGAAGATCGAACTTTAGTGGAAAAATCAAAGATTGGCTCTCTTTTTGAGGCTTGTAGTCTTGACTACTGATATTCAATCTGAATTATAGTTAGGAATAGCTGGAATCACTAACGAATAGCTGAGTTTTTTGCTTTTATTTTTCAGCTATCAAAACGAGCTGCTTCTTGAATAGCAGTCACTAAAGAATCAACATTCGAAAACCAAAATAATCATGAATCACTACTCGTTGCATTCGAAAAGAAAATATAAAAAACTACTTACTGTTGCCATTCAACATAAAGAAATATAAATATAAATATTAACAAAACGTTAAAGTTAATTTTACGAAATAATTAAACAGATGCAAAATATAAAATACTTGAAATTAAAAATAATTATTACTCATGCAATAACTGGGCCACTAGAGGCTGTGCAAAAGAATACATGAAGACGATTATTACCGCCAACTTCTATTTCGTTGTTAATTGCATTCGTATAAAGTTAGAATATTGATTTTAATTATAGTGAGCAACTTTGATTAGAACTTTTGTTAAAGCTATCAAGCATAAATTTTGTTGTTGAGTATAAATAATTTTATTTATATGAATTTCATGCTTTGAATTTCTTATTCTTTTCGTTGAACTGATGGTGAAACTTTCACCGCCATGAAAACTTTCGAGCGATTTAAAGCGTTCTAAAAGACTGCGATGTAACTGATCGAAAAGGTCTAATGAAAGTGAAGACGAAAATTCTTCCAACAGAAGATACAGATAATTTCTTGTGTCCTGTATTTTTTACATTCTAATCATTAAGTAGGAAAAAAATATTTTTGTATTGAGGTTTTATTTAATTACTTAGGGGAATTGCCTGCAGCCTATTTTATTTGACCATGTAGTTGGATTGCCTGCTATAAGTGTTATTTTGATTGCTTAGTTATTTGATTATTTAGGTTAGATTGTCTCTTCGGTCCGAGTTATTGAATTGATTCAGAGTCAAGATAATTGTGTTAAGGTTGCAAAGGTAGCTGCAGCCACAGGTAAACGGATCCATCCTGTGCAACTATTCTATCCTCTAGAATGAATGGACGGCGGGAGCTTGCTTTTATTTCAGCACAAAACAATTTAATAGTCATCCTAGTCAAGATATTAGGGTTCCTCATAAAACAATTAAATTTAAACGTGGTAAGATAACGGTAAAACCTTTACTTTTTTTTTTGGTGTTATTGTACTAAGTATATTCTTTAGTCTCTCTGTTAACTAACTATATTGTATTTTGACTTATGCTCCACCCAATATAAATCAAAAAGATGAGTGGAGATGTCGCGAGCAACTTAACGGTTACATAAACGCACGTTTTCCTTAGAGTTATTTTCATGCTTTGGCAACACTGTGTTTTTAGTTTATTCTTAGAATATTAAAAAGTAAGCCTTTTTTTCGTAATGAAGTGGATTGGTTGCTTTATTTTGATTTCTTATTTCTTTTTTATCTATATTTTTCTTTTAAATCTATATTTGAATATATTTTTTATAAAATACATTCTAATTTCCTTTAAATCATTTAAAAAATATATATTTCGAAATATTAGTATATGATTAAAAATAAATTATATTTTGTATTATAATTATTTAAAAAAAATAAAATCAACATTTCATACAAGCAGCTGGATAGATACATAATGACAACTAACGGAATCATATCTTAAGTACTTGAGCATTTCAAAAATAGTTAAAGCAGTAAAAAACACAAATGTTTAGCGATCCTCATCGGGACAAAATTTCATGTTGTCTCTCAAACTGTATTGTCTGAATACTAAGAATCTTACGTCTGAAAGGTAGAAAAATGTTTCTAGCAGATACGAAAAATGAGCAAAAATACTATTTAATCTTATTTATCCTCAGATTACCTCGTGATTCGTTAAAGAACGTTTAAATGTCATTGAACATTATTCAAAACTGTAACTGTAACCTACCTTGTAGCTCCGGGTCATTAGAATCGTCCTGACACAAGACAACAGCAAGAGCGCTGGCCACAACGAACACCCAAAAGGCTTTCATCTGAAAGAAGAAAGTATTAATCATTATCTAGAAGTTCAATATACATTTTGTATTAATCATTAATATTGAAAGTTATTCAAAAGAAATCAGAATTTAGATCAGTGATTCTCAACATTTCAAAGCTGCTGCCCCCCTAAGGAGCGCAAAAAATTTTTCAATGCCCCCCTCCATGTGAAAAATCCTGTAATTTAGGGTATGGGAAAGGGAGGTTCCTGAATTATAAAAGGCAAAAGTTTTAAGTAATTTTTTTTGGTAGACATGCACACCAAATTTATTTGTTTAACTGGATAGTTTTGCCTTGGCAGGTAATTACACTCCTTTGGTTAAAACTGAAATGACTGATACGCACCCTCCCCCCAAAAAAAAGACAAAAAATTTGAAAGATTTTGGATTTTAAATTATGTCTGAAGGGGCGCTTTTCTAAAGTTTTGTGTGTTACTTTTATTTATTAAATATCAGGTTCTCCGCACTTAAACCATAAAATTGAGTTCAACAGAAATATCACAAAATAATTTAAATTGAGCCTATATTTAGAATTTCGGATACACAGTGTCGCGCACTGGAGATAAAAGTGTTATTTCTGTGCAGCGTTGCCATTGCTCGCTTTGAAATCCTTGAGTTTGTTAATCAGAAATTCGTTAAAGGTTTACAAAATATGAAATCGATAATAAAACAAATTCCAAATTTCAAATTTGGGCTTCCAAATGCCCATATTAGCAGTAGGATTAAGTCATTCGAAAGGTACCATTGTTTTAACACAATGTGAGAAACATACATACATTTATGCAGATTCTTCATTATTTAATTTCTTCAAATATAATACAGGACGATACTATTGGGTGGCAACAGTTTGAAAAGTGATACAGCCTTTTAAAGATTTCAACGCAAAATGCCAAAACGAAAACCAATAATCCCACAGGAACAAAGCCCCTTTGGAATAAAAAAAAAATCTTAAGCATTCTTTCATGATTAAAAAGTTCTTTATTCTTAATTAAATAATTAAAAAAAAACAGCAAAACATACACCGAGTAATATCAATGAAAAAAATCATGTATGAAGAGGGGGATGTTTGTGCTTGATATTTCAAAGTCAGTTTCTGAATATTCGGTTCAGTATTTTTAGAGAAATGAAAGCACAAGTCCCCTTTCCACGACTTGGGTGGGGGGGGGTCGATTTATCTTTTTAAATTCCTATTAGCTCACACTCTCCCTATATCGTGTTCAAATTTTCAGTCTTTAATAAAATACTTTTTATTAATCCATTCAAGTTCAAATGCATTTTTTTAAACTTGTAGTGGATGACACTTGATGTTAATACAGTTTTTGAGATATTATAATTTTTTTTAAAATTTTTAATTAAAAAAAATTTTTTTTTGTATTTAAAATTTTTCTTTGTTGAATTAAGTAGGAACTGACTACAAAAAAATTTTTTTTAATATTACTTGTTTGTAATTAGATCAATCACAGCAAACACTGAATCCTTACTTGACAAGGTAGGAGGAAGGAAAACAATTAAAAATTTTTTGACGATCGTCCACAATCCTGGTTAGAGGCGACTGATGTTACTTTGAAGCCAAAATTTTGTGAGACGATCACTATTCTGGAAGCTGGCTTTCAAAGTTTCATTAATTGAAAGTTCGACTGGTTCCTCCTGAATTGCTTTCTCAATATTCGAACCTTTGCTTTCTCAATATTCGTAAAAGGGTTCATTATCCATTGAGTGATTTCCAGGGATAAAATATCCTCAAAACGCTCAGAAATAAATATTTTTGGAATTTTAAAATTAAGCCGATTGCCAAAACATACTCATCACCCCTACCGCCCAAAACAAGTCCCCCTCTCAGCATCGTCGTACTGCTCCGGGGGCAGAATTTCCCCCGTTGAGAACCAATAATTTATATAATTTTTAATTGATTTATTAATTGTACGAGTTATATCGTAGTCGGATTTTCCGATAAAATATTTTATGACATCGCCAAGTACGAGTATATTCGTAGTTGGCGGTTGCTGATAACAAAGACATTATTTTTACAACAATCATTATAACAAAGATTATTATAAATTGCTTGATTATTTTTACAATTCTTATGCTATTTACTTTATAATTATTTATGTTATATTAATTATAATAAATCTCTTGAATTGCGCCAAATTGTTGTGCTTCTTTTTAATCCCCAAAGCCGGATACCTTCAAAGAACATGAAAATATTACGAGTTTGATCGTCTGCGGTGTAGGTAAAACAAAAACATTCTACGTACTAACTGGTAGCTGGCGCCTAAACACAAACTTCGATCTACGAGATAACTCGTGGTTGGCAGCGAAAGTGTTAAAAATTACACGAATGAAAGAACTGCGATTGCTTACTTACCTTGCAAGAAGACTGGAAGATAGTAGAACTGGTAAAAGATTTCTGTGAAGCGAAATTTATATACAAAATTTACACACAATAATTTCTTTCCTTAACCAATGAAATTCGATACGACGTCGCCTGGAACCAGTTTTCTTCTTTGATTTAGAACACAAAAAATGAATTGCAATAGCACGTGCAATTTCGATGACTGACATTCTGTCAAAAATTACAAAAAATGAAACGTAAAGCCTGGATAATGCTTCGTGATAAAAAATATTTGCATTCTCTGTAAAGTAGAAATGAAGAATATGAAATTACGTTTTTTTTCACTCTGATGTGAATAATAATAGGAAAAAGTCTACAATATTCAAAGGTTTGATGAATGTCATGTTAGGCCCATCTGTGGAATAAATTTCTGGAAACAACTGTAAAAAAGAGAAGTGTCATTTGATGCAGGTGCAATATTCATGTCACGCAGTAGGTGCGATAGATGTAGAATTCATTATTTAGTTAATATGATTTTTTCCTTAGGTGGAGTGAATGTGTGTATCTTCTTCTTTATTATTTTTTATCGGTAAAACCATTAAGAAGACCAAAAATTAACACTTTGTAATTAAACTTCATATATTAACCTTTTGTTGAAGTGGCTCTTGAAACCGTGGGGAGGGGATCTCATAACTCCGTGAAAGCTTTTAACCCTCCAGTTTGGGCTTACAAGACTAAAAACACATTCTTTAGATGCTAAATAAATTTAAAAGTAATTTAAAAAGTACACTGGTTATTATAAATTAAGGAAAAATCACAAAAATAGCGATAACTCCCTCAAAAATAAGAATCAAACCGTGTAAAATTTGAATATGTTCCAAGTAAGAGTAGCTGAGTAAAACTGCAATATGCAAATTAGTGGCACTGCACTCGGAATACGCCATCTACGAGGAGCATAAAAGTCCATGTTTGAGAGCAAGCCCACATATTTCACTGCGATAGTGACATCAGAAATCTGAGATAGCCAATTGGTAACAATGATCCATCATTTGCTTGCAGAACTACGATAGAAAGCCATTGAGAGACTAGAGGCAGGACAAAGTCAAACAGAAGTGGCCAGATGGCTAAATGTGAGTCCTTCTGTGGTTTATAGACTTTAGAGACAATTTCAAATCACAGATTCGGCATCTAGGAGGCTCACCAAGGACGGCCAACTACTACGACGGTGCCGATGACCGATATTTGATATTATGTGCACGCAGGAATAGAACCGCTACTCCGACTCTTCTTCGATCCTCCCTTGCTGCAGCCACTGGAAGGTTGGTGTCAACTGTGCAACTGTCGCGTACAGACCAGGCCTTCACGAAGGTGGTCTGTATGCGAGGCGACCAGCAATTTTTGCGTGCCTTTCACGTCACGCCATAGGGAGGGACCGTTTGCAGTGGGCACGACAACATGTCCACTGGACACCTTGATCTGATGGAGGGCTTGTTCTCTTTACGGATGAAAATTAAAATATAGGCATTTATTAAATTAAATTATAATTCATCAGGTTTAGTCAAGAAAGCGATAGCAAGCGTTATTCGATATGGAGAGAATCTAGAACCCGTTATCATCCGTCAAACATACGTGAAAGAGATGCATACGGAAGGGCCAGTGTCTGTGTTTGGGGTGGCATCTCTTTAGCCGGACGCACAGACCTCCATGTCTTTCCAAGGGGAACCGTGAATGCTCAAGTTCGCAGAGATGACATCCTTGATGTTTATGTGCGCCCATATGCCGGGGCTATACGGGTTGCTTTCCTGTTACAGCACGACAACGCAAGAGCACACAGGGCTCGCATCGCAGATGATTATCTTCAGCAGGAAACATTATGCGCATGGGGTGGCCAGCTCGATCCCCGGACTTGAATCCTATCGAGCACGTTTGGGATGCTTTAGGGAGACGTCTAGCTGCTCTCAATCCGCCCCCTCAGATCCTTGTCGCGCTTGCAACTGCTTTGCAAGAGCGATGGCTCTCGCTTCCTATGGAACTGATAGACCGCATAACTGAAAGCATCCCGCATCGCTGAATGTGCTGCATTGCTTCTAGAGGCGATCATATTCCATATTGAAGGTACTTTTCCTATAGCAAACTGACACCTTCGATTTGTTCATTTTATACATGTGCTAATTTCTATACGATCACATTTGTCTGGTAATTTCTTTTTAAGTTATTCGATACCTTATTATGTGTTGTATATTGTGGGTAAGTTTCATTAAATTCTACAACTTTTTCAGTAATCGTGATTTTTTTTTTTATTTTCCCTTAATTTATGATAACCAGTGTATTAACAAAATCTGAAAGCTTTCAGATTTAACATTACGCAAAAAAGGGCGATTTTTAAACGTTTTGTGTGTTACCTTTATTTATTAAATATTATGTTCTTCGCACTTAAGCCATAAAATTCAATTCAACAGCAATATCGCGAAATAATTTTACAGTACAGTACCATTACTAGCTTTGAAATCGTTGAGTTTGTTAATCAAAATTTCCTTTAAGTGTTACAAAATATGAAATCGATAATAAAACAAATTTCAAATTCCAAATTCGGGCTTCCAGATTGCCATATTCCGTGGAAGATTACATTATTCAAAATTGGATGGCTCTAGGTACCGTCGTATTATCACAATGCTAGAAACATACATACATTCATGCAGATTCTTCATTATTTAATTTCTGTAAATATAATACAGGGCGATAATATGGTGTGGCAACAATTTGGAAAGTGAACCGACATTTATAGTACATCAATGCCAAATGCCAAAACGAAATTAGTAGTCCGTTTGGGCAAATTGCATCTTTGGACTAAACAAAAAAGAAAAAAGTTCTATAAAGTATTAGAAAAGTCCACGGGAGTAGAAAAAGGAGAAAAAGAGCAATAATGAAAATGTAACAGCATAAAAACAGTGAGTGGGTGGCGGTGCGTGGTGGTATAGCAGGCACCAATAGTTGATTTTTCGAAATTGTGCCTTATTTTCTCTTCTTTCTTTTGATAAAAAAATCAAACCTTATCATTAAATAAACATGTTTGATTCCTATCGTCGAAGTTAAAGCTATAAAAGCTATAGTTTGAAAGTATAAATTAACAATGTTGAATGTTATCTCTTTAACACGATTACTTCAGAAGACCAAAATCACCTAACTATCAGTAGTCTTTTGTGTCGTCTCTGTTCTTAAAATTCTACTGCTCTAAATCAGAAATAAAAAACATATTAAGGAAAAATGGGATTAATGAAGAAATGAATGCTTTACCTGTAATACATAGAATAAGAAAAAAAGAATATAATGTTACATTTAATTATAAAATTAATAAGAAAAAATTTAATAAAATGATGAAAAAGGTTTGCAAATAAAGCAACAAAAATAATCGTATATATTTCTTTATAGATATCACTAAACATAAGGGAGACCATTTTCAGAAAAAAAAAAAACCCCATAACGTCTGGATGAAATCCATATTGAAAATGGAAATATTGAAATGGGAATAACTATTTTTGCGTGCGCGTAAGGGTTCGTAACAGACTGATTGCACAAGTCCGATAAAAAGTTAATAAAATTTATTGTTATCACAAGAAATGCAACAAAACGCTGGATTCTTCCTCAGAGATATTCGTACAATATCGCACAATATAATCAAAAGCTATATTTTAAACTGCTCAAACGTTAAATAGAACGCAATCCAAAGCGCAGAGAAAGCTAATCCATTCAACAACAATTACGGCAGCTGACTAAACAACAACTGTGCTGAGATGTTCTCTCTCTGGCTTTTATAGCTTTTTAAATCGGCCGCGCTAAACAGTTCTAGCAATTTCTGGAAAGCAGGAAAAAAGTAGAATTACGGTTACAGTTAACATGGAAGTCAATTACATTTATTCAACTTAAATATAAATTACGTGATTTTTTTTTTTTTTTTTTTACTTCCTTGTACGAAGTAAAAAGGAAGTATTGTAATCGCGAAAAGTTTCAGGCAGCCTATTTCGACGAAAATATCCACTTTGACCGCTTTCGAATGCAATTTAAGGATGTTTTTGCGTGATATCTGTACGTAAGGACAGAATAAAAGACTCTTTTCCTCCAAAAAAACTAAAAAACTGCTTTAAAATGAATTCTGAAGAGAATTTTTCGTGGCGTCTGTACGAACGTATGTACGTACGTACGTATCTCCCATAACTCAAAAACGAGTAGCCTCAGAACGTTGAAATTTTGTATATAAGACTACTATAACATGTAGATGTGCACCTCGTATTTTGGTTGTAATCGGCCGCACCAAACGTATATAAATACTATATTTATATATATATCCATTCTGTTACTCGGCACAGTGATCTCAGTTTCTTTACTCTTATATGTTTGTAAATTGTACATTTTTTTGCTTTAAAAATGATTGAATTATGTTGTTTTTATCTTCCGGTTAAGGGTTTTATGCCTTTAGTAAATCTGTATGCAATATTTTTAGAATTATCAACAATTTTAAAATTGTTTAAGTGCCGCTAAGCCTAATTTGATGGCGGCCATTGCTCTTGTTTACATTTGAAACAGCTGAGTAGCGGATTTGTTGCCAATCTAGAGAAACTTAGGTTCGCAACAACAAAGATAACGCCTTCATTTATTATTTAAATCATGCTTAATCCTTTCTGAAATTTTTTGGAGGAAATAAGTGTTTAAGATTTACTTCGTAATTTTTAATACAGATATTTTAAGTTATGTATTTTTGCCTTCTCGCGAAGTGAGAACTGAATTAATTGAATGAGAAATACTCAATCGTCTATGAAAAACTGTTTCTTTTAACGTTTTGTTTGCTTAATTTCTTTTATACATCGTTCTAGCTTTATTATAGTATTTGAATAGAAGATGTGGCAACTATTAGATAATTCTATTCTTTAAATGATATAAATTTTGTGCATTGTGAGTTATAATATGAACGAAATATATAAGTTAACTGTTATATAATTATTGGATTATTTCCGTTATATAATAATTATATAACGGAAACTAAGTTAACTGTTATTGTTATATAATTATTAATACTTTTAAGTGAATCTAGCGCCAGAGTGTCGCTATGGTAAAGAAATACAG